GGACTTGTCCCGTCTGAACCATTGGGTTTCTTGCCTCTCGTTTCGGAGGGGCAAGAGGATGACCACTCTGTCCCAGGTCCGGCTTCTGTTGGAGTCGGGCGCTTGGATGGTGTCCCTGGACCTCAAGGACGCGTATTGGCATGTCCCTGTTCATATGGGGTTCCGGGACTGATTTGGTTTTGTTGTGGGGCGTCAATGCTACCGCATTCGTTGTCTCCCCTTCGGGTTGAAACTTGCACCTCGCGTGTTCACACGCATTATCCGGGTCGTGGTGGCCCGTATGCGTCTGTTAGGTGTTCGGGTGTTGGCTTACCTCGACGACTGGCTGGTTTGGGCTCCTAGTCGGTCCGCGTGTCTGCTCGCCAGGGATTTGGTGCTTTCCCAGCTCGCTGGGTTCGGGTTCCTTGTGAACTGGTGGAAGTCCCATCTGGTTCCCTCTCAGGTTCGGTCCTGGCTGGGTCTTGTGTGGGACTCTAGGTCTGCTTCCTTGTCTCTTCCTCTTTCGGCTGCAGTCTCGCCTGTGTCTGTTTCTGGGGGGGCTCCCGGGTCACCCGGCGGTTGCTCGAGGGTTTGTGCGGGAGCCTGAACTTCGTGATGTTGGTCTACCTGCCGGGTCGGGTTTAGCTTAGTCGGCTGTTCTGGTTCCTTCAGGGACGTCCTTTCTGCCTCTCTCGCGATTGCTTGGTTCGACCCCCGGGGGCTTTGCGTCGGCTGCTGCATCGCCGGATTCCTTTTCAGGATTTTCGAGGTTCAGTGCCTTGGCCCCTGCCCGAGCCCTTGCTCGATGTGTTCACGGACGCGTCGTCTCTAGGCTGGGGCTTTGTGACCATTGCTCACTAGGCCGGCTAGGGGTGGTGGGGTCCGTCCTTCTGTCGGGTCCACGGCATGGTGCAAGAGTTCGCGGCGATGTGGTTTGTGCTCCGGAGGGTTCGGGTTGCCCGCGGATCGACGATCCGGCTCCATTCGGACTGCTCCCCGGTGGTTTATTGCCTGAACCGAGGGGGTTCGATGCAGTCCTTGGCTCTTTGGGGTTGGTCGCTTCGGGTGACTCGTCTGCTGAGTTCTCGGGGTTTGGCTCGTGGGGTGTCCAACATCCTGGCGGACAGCATGTCCAGGTTTGTTCCCCTGTCCACAGAATGGATGGTCGACGCCGACTCCTTCAGTTGGCTCTGCCGGACGTTCGGGCGCCAGGAGGTGGACCTCTAAGCATCGGCGTGGTCTTGGCATCTTCTGGATTACGTGGCGCCTTTCCCCGACTGCGAGGCTGTCGGGATCGACGCCTTTCGGCAGGACTGGTCGAGGTGGGCCTGCGGGCTGCTCCAAGCAACAGCCTAGTGGACCAAACTCTCACAAGTCAAGCCTGGCCTCGGGCTGGGCTTGGGGAGATGAAGAACTCCCAGAACCCCATCAACCAGGTATCAACCAGGTGGGGGTTCCTGTACCTCTTTCCCCTGATTCAACTGCTGCTCCGGGTCCTGGCTCGGTTGGAGACTTACCAGGGTCAAGTGGTCCTCTTGGCCCCGTGGTGGCTGGCCCAGCCGTGGTTTCAGGCCCTGCTTGCCCGGTGTCCGAACCCGGAGGTTTTTCTGCGGCTCCGCCTCTTTCAGGAGATCGGGCCGGTCCAGTACGTGACTGGTTCGCTCTTCTATGCGAGTCTAAGCATTTGGTGTTTTTGACTCGTATTTATCACCATCTTTATGGTGAGCAGGTGGCTTCCTTGTTGGTTTCTCACCTGCGGGTTTCCTGGCGGTCCTTCCGGTTCTTTTTGGCCCTTCGTCGTTGTTCCTCGCTTTCGGTTCGGGTGTTGTCCTTTCTCTCTTGGTTGCTTCAGGACCGTCATCTGATGCCTAATACTGTCGCCTCGTATCGTGCGGCGCTGGTGGAGCCGCTGCAGCTTGCTTTCGGTATTGATGTTACTTCTGAACCATTTCGCAAGCTGTCTCGGGTGTTGTTTCACCTCCGGCCTCCTCATGCGCCGCCTGAGCCATCCTGGTCTTTGGACAGAGTGCTCTTCTATCTTCCTTCTCCTCTGTTTGTTGTGGCCCCTTCGGTTCAAGATTGCTTTGCTAAGGCTCTTTTTCTGTTGGCATTGGCCTCTGGGGGTCGCGTGGCAGAACTTCATGCTCCTCTCCAGCGCAGAGGTTTTTGCTCCTTTGGTCGTGGTCTTAGGTATGTTCGTCTGCAACCGTCTCCCTCTTTTCTGGTGAAGAATGAGACTGCTGATTTCCAGAGGGGTCCTTTGGTTGTTGATGCTTAGTTTGTCAGGCCGGCGGTTCATCATGTGTTGTGATCAGTTGTGGCCCTCCGCCGTTATCTGCGCGCCACGGCTTCTGTGTCCGGGGATGCACTATGGGTTGATCCGGTTTCCCTTCTTCCCTGTTCGCGGGTTCGGGTCTCTCAGGTTGTACGCAGGGTTATTAAATCCTGCCACCCTGTGGTCTATCCCCGTGCCCATGACGTTCGTAAGTTTGCTGCTCTTGCTGCCGTCTTCGGCAATATGTCCGAAGGTGAAGTAGCTCCGGGCAGCCGTAGGGGCTTCCCCCAGAAAACCAGTGTTGAATGTAATGAAATGCCATTTTCTGGGTGAGTCCCAGAGGCTCCCCGGCAACCCTCCTGCCCTGCGGTCGGCGGTTGTTTCCCTGTTTTGATATCCAGCCTCTGAACAGGGGCAAGGATCGCCGATTTGGGGGTCTGGGGCTCCCCCTTCCCTCTCCCGGGAAGGGGAGAGCTGCGCAGACATGCGGCGCGGCTTGTGTGACGTCATGCTTGTTTGCTCGTTTTCCTTTTGGGGAGTTCTGTCCACTCGTTTGTCGATTTTCGTTGTTAACCACAATAGGGGTTTGTTTTGAGGTGCTTACCTTTCTGGGTGCCTGTCCCGGTCGATGGCAGATATAGAATGCTCCAAATCACATATGCAATTCTATGGGCCATTGCTCCCTCTTGCCTCTGTGAGGGGGCCAGGTTCTGGCTTGTGGTCCCCGATAGGTTAGAACTCCACCCACATCGACTGATGCAAAATAGTTAGGATATCCATATCAGGCATGGATAGCTCCGGGGAGCCTCCGGGACTTGCCCAGAAAATGGCATTTCATTACATTCAACGCTGGTTTTTTGTCTCGGGCCGTTCATGGTGTAATTAAGTCTGGCCAGCCTGCGGTCTACCCCTATGCCTGTGATGTGAGGTAGTATGCTGCCCTAACTGCTGCTGTCTTTGGTAATATGTCTTGGATCGACATTCGGGCGCTTGAGTTTTGGAGGTTGAACAGGGTCCTGGCATTCGGGTATCTCATGACTGTCCTGGGCCCTCGCCAGCCATGTGTTGCTTTGGGAAGACTGTACTGATTGTCAGTCTCTTCTTTGCCTTGAGGCCTGCGTTGCTGCTGCCTCCCGGACAAGTCACTGTTTTTACTTATCTGTGGGTAGTTAGCTTCAGGGAGACGACAAGGCTTTCCCTCAGAAAACCAGCATTGAATGTAATGAAATGCCATTTTCTTGGGGTGCCCTGCAGGCTCCCTGACACCCTCTTTCCCTCATGGTCAGCGGTCTTTATCGTTCAAGAACTGGAGTGGTGGGCTACTGCACCTACTGTGACATAGGTCACAATTTTCACCAGATTGTGGTTTGTTTTGTTTAACCTATCTTTCTGGGTGCTCTCCCCAATCGATCGCAGTTATGACATACAGTGGTACCTTCATTTTCGATTGTAATCCGTTCCCCAGAGGTGCGTTTTCAACCAAAAATTCGGCAACCAAAATAAATTTTCCCATAAGAAATAATGTAAATTGAATTAATCCATTGGACACCCCTAAAAATATTAACTTAAAAATATATTTTATACCGAATAACAGTCATTAGCTACAATACAGTACTGTATGCATATCTTACCTTGAATGAGGACTCTTGTTGGCGTATGGAAGATGGTGAGGAGGAGGAGAAGTGTTAGCATTTGGAAGGGCTGAGTCCCCTTCCATTATAACAGCAGTGATGACATTTCTGGGGTACCCTCTTTCCTATGTTTTGCAGGCATACCACTAGGACCTAGTTGTGGCTCACTGCTTCCTTGTCTTACTAAGAATCTGTCTATAGACACTTGTTTTTCCCTACATTTTAACACTTGCCTGTAGTAAGACATCACATTCTCACTATGAATGATCTCTTGTTTTTTCTCTATCGTCATCCTCACAATTATTTTCTTTGGTTAAACTTTACCACTGACTTTCTTGGGACTCATGTCCTGATATATAATAAGAACTGTTATGTTAAAAAAACAAAGAAGCAGGCAAACGATGAAATTTTTCACAAAGAATTCAAGCACGGCTGCTGTTGTCTCTATGAGGGATAAGATTCCTTGCCCCGCGCCCCCAACACTATGAGTTCGTTCGACCCACATGCGTACGAACAGAAGTCATCTTCCACCAATTCAAACTGGTGAACTGTTGTACACCAATTCAAATTTTAAGACGAATTTGAAGTCGTCAACCAAAAAATTTGTACTCTAGGGCAATCGTCAACTGAGGTACCACTGTACTTTTGTACTTTAAATGTAAAGTTCTCATAGACCTTTGCTCCCTGCACCTCTTTGAGGGGGTCAGGTTCTGGGTTGTAGTTCCTGGTAGGCACAAGGACTCTTGTGACTGATGACCCCAAACTAATATAACACACACAAATTCAGATAGCTCCAGGGAGCCTCCAGGGCTCCCCCAGAAAATGGCGTTTCATTACATTCAAAGCTACATTAATTTTATGTACATATATAATATTAAGTAAATTAATAAATGTGTGGTTATACTTATTAAATGTATGATTATATTTTAAGTCAGAAAATAATGAACTTAGATTATATTCGAGTTTCATTTATATTTATTTTCGGAACATTTAAACAAATAATACAATTATTTGAAAATCTTATAAGTGATGAATCTAATTTATAACTAATATTATTCCTCAAAATGATTTTGCAAATTCTTGAAGATATTTATATTGCTCCTGCCAACCTCCAGAGAAGAGCAGTCGAGAGCAGCGCACAGTGGACATGTCCCCAACATATGAGAGCGAGGAGAAGAAATATGCTGGTGAAGAGAAGGTTGTCACTGAGGAGAAGGTGACCAGAGAGGAACTGAGAGATGGTTCTAGTATTACAATAAGTACTACATCAACAACTGTCATAAAGGAACCCACTGAAAAAAGTAAATTAGATACAGTTATTAAAGAAACGACAGAGGTAGAACCCATTGAAGAAATGAAACTTGATTCCACAAAAGAGCAAATTATTCCAGAGCCCATTAAAGAGCAAATTGTTCCAGAGCCCATTAAAGAGCAAATTGTTCCAGAGCCCATTAAAGAGCAAATTGTTCCAGAGCCCATTAAAGAGCAAATTGTTCCAGAGCCCATTAAAGAGCAAATTGTTCCAGAGCCCATTAAAGAGCAAATTGTTCCAGAGCCCATCAAAGAGCAAATTGTTCCAGAGCCCATCGAAGAAATTTCAGAGCCAATGGAAGAACATATATCTCCAGAGCCCATCAAAGAGCAAATTGTTCCAGAGCCCATCAAAGAGCAAATTGTTCCAGAGCCCATCAAAGAGACTAAGGTTGAGCCATCTGTTACTGAATTTGTGGCTTTAAAGCCAGTTGAAGGTTCTGCTGCTGAAACAGAAGAGATTATTTCTGAAGAGCCATTAAATATCTTGGAAAAGAGTAAAACAGAGTTTACCGTGGCTGAGGCTGAAAAGGATATGATTGAAAAATATGAGCAGTTGCTGGAGCAAGAAGCATTAGAAAAGCCTATTTTTAAAATTACAGAAAAACCTGCAGAGGTAGAAGACAAAATTGAAGTGGTTGATGACGTGCCTGAAGACATTGGTGCTTCAGAAGTGGAGGATTCCAAAGAGATACAAACAACAGTTGTAAGAGAGGTTGTAAGTGGGCCGGAAGGTACTCCAACTAGCACTACTACCACACAGAGAGAAACATACACTACTTCAGAGGATGGAACTGTACAAGAACATATTGTAGTTACTAAGCAGATTACTAAAACTGTTGGTGGCTTAGAACTGGATGAAGAAGACAAGTCACTCATGCTTCAAAAACTTGGAGAGGAACTAGGCAGACTGGATGAGAAGTTAGAGGAGAAATTCAAAGAGAAGAGAAAAACAGATGAACCAGAAGGTAAATGTTAGTTGCACGTCACAGAGGGTATGGGTTAATAGTTGGAATTTATTCTAGATTATAGTTTATGGGAATAGCACGCTTAAGCCTCAACCTTGTGTGGGGAACACTCTTGTCTTGCCTGCTGTAAATTGTCCACTGAGTGTCACCTGTCATAGATAAAAACAAAATTTGTAAGTAGATTCGTTTTAAGGGCATCCCGAATCCCTTAATTTTTCTGAAGTCTGTTGGAAGTCACTTAGGTTTTATAAATATATACCAATACAGTATTACTGATCTCTGAGAATGTTGATTCCAGGATATTTTTAATACCTTTGCTGGAAATTTATTTCTGTTGACTTGTGATAATTGTAAATAGTAAATTACTTCATTGTGCTTTCCTATATTTAAAAATGCAGTATAAATTCATTAACTTGGGATATTTAATATGTAAGTGGGGAAAATGCATTAATTGAATATACAGTGTTTTCGTTGTTTAAAATTTTGAGGCTAAAGAGTTGTGATACTTGGGATTTGGGATATTCATTTTGTTTGTGCACTGTATGATAAAATATTTAATTATAATTGTGGTGGCAAGCATTCTTTCAATTTCTTCAATGTTTTCATGTTGGAAAATGTAATTAATTACAATTTTAAATACTGAAGCTTTAGAAACATTTTAATTTTAGATTCTCTGCACATACACATATGCATGGAGGTAATAATATGACATTCATATAGATTTTTCCCCTTATTAAGGCATGTGTAAGCTCTATTCCTCCCATGCAATTCATTGCCTGAAATAAAACTTTTAAAGTGTTTAGGTTCAATGTTGTTACAGGAATATTAGTTTGTAATGCTACATCTTAGGGGGGAAGCTTAACCACAGGTTTCCCTCATTGTATCTGCACATCATAAACCTTCTAGTGCAACATGGGGAAGTGACCTCTTCAAAACTTATTACACAACATTGGTTTGCTACATTTTCATATATTCATTTTTTGCTAACACAACTCTAACATGTACTGTCTCCTCTACCTTGTTTAAAGCTTTGTATAAAGTTAATGTGTACAGTTCTTTGTTTTTTATATATGCATTTATAAATAGATCATATTTGAACGTAATTCTGTTGACCATAATTTATGCATGAATTATTTAGTGAAGAATTTTAGAAGATTTTTTTAACTGGTGTGTAAAGTTATCAATTTTTTTTTAGTTTAAAGTTATTTGAAGTGATGCATTAGCCTTTTAAATTAAGATTTATCTTTATATGAATTTTATTGAAAGATAAATCATGATTGTATTGATGTTTTGTATTTACACATCTTCTTGAGAATAGATAGCTGTTGGTAATGCCATTGTTTGTTGTGAGGGATAATGTCACACTAAATTGTTACAAGTAGCTGATCTCTTGGCTCACTTTGGCACTGTTGCACTAATCATAGTGACACAAGAAGAGGTGAAAGAGGAAGCAGTAGTGGCTATGCGTCGTGAGGACCATGCCCAACCTACCTCACAGGTTGTGGTTGAATACGGCTCTCTGCCCTCCACTCTATCTGTTACCACCACAACTACCACAACAACAACCAGCATCACCCCTACCCCAGGTAGAATTGTTTGTCACTAAGAATAAATGTTCTTGCTTTCAAATACATTTTGAGGATTGAAGCTGTAACAGATGTATCATTTCCAAGTTTTCTCATCTTCTAAATGCCTATATTGTTTAAAGAAACACTATATTTTATTGATGCAGATTATTTACTATATACATATTTTCCTTCTGCAAGTCAACTCAAAGTTATCAAAGTCAGTCCTCAATGAATGCTGTTGAAAGTAAAGAATAGATTTTGGTAATTTGTGTGGTGTTAAGCTTTGAAACTCATCGGCTTCATTTCACCTTACGAGTTTGTATGTCACCGGTGTCTGCTTGAAGATGCATTGCAAACTTTACCTGTCGGTTAAAACTGTTTTCAGTCATCAAAAATGGCCTGACATTGCTTCATGAAAGAGTGCAAGATTTAGCAAAATGTAGTTGTTAAAGTAAGTTTTGCCAACTGCATTCAAGAATATAAATGATAGAGCTGAGGTCATTATGGAAATGGTATGGATTATATTAATAGTATTATCAATAAGCCTACTACTACAGCAATTATTGCTGCTTCTTCTATTGCTGCTGCTACAGCTGCTACTGCTGATGCCATTATTGTTAGTTATATTTATATATAATATAAGAATTATTGCATGTGCATGTTCCTAGGTTTATGTGCATGAAAATATGAATAGTAATTGTTGAGTAATTACTAATGGTGTCATTTGATTCCTGAGTGAAATGTTTAGGGTGTGCTTTACTTGTGTCCAAGGATATTGCTAAATATAAACTGTATGCAATTATTTTACTTCATAACATATCTATGCATAAAATATTCTTGAGTTTTCTCTTGATTGTATGTGTTAATGTTCTTCTCTTACTTAAGAGTGGGATAGGTCATAAATTAACTACACTATATGTATATGTGTGTGTGTGTGTGTGTGTGTGTGTGTGTGTGTGTGTGTGTGTGTGTGTGTGTGTGTGTGTGTGTGTACTCACCTAATTGTACTCACCTAATTGTGCTTGCGGGGGTTGAGCTCTGGCTCTTTGGTCCCGCCTCTCAACCGTCAATCAACTGGTGTACAGATTCCTGAGCCTATTGGGCTCTATCATATCTACATTTGAAACTGTGAATGGAGTCAGCCTCCACCACATCACTTCCTAATGCATTCCATTTGCTAACTACTCTGACACTGAAAAAGTTCTTTCTAACGTCTCTGTGGCTCATTTGGGTACTCAGCTTCCACCTGTGTCCCCTTGTTCGCGTCCCACCAGTGTTGAAAAGTTCGTCCTTGTTTACCCGGTCGATTCCCCTGAGGATTTTGTAGGTTGTGATCATGTCCCCCCTTACTCTTCTGTCTTCCAGTGTCGTGAGGTGCATTTCCCGCAGCCTTTCCTCATAACTCATGCCTCTTAGTTCTGGGACTAGTCTAGTAGCATACCTTTGGACTTTTTCCAGCTTCGTCTTGTGCTTGACAAGGTACGGGCTCCATGCTGGGGCCGCATACTCCAGGATTGGTCTTACATATGTGGTGTACAAGATGTGTGTGTGTGTGTGTGTGTGTGTGTGTGTGTGTGTGTATATATATATATATATATATATATATATATATATATATATATATATATATATATATATATATATATATATATATATATATATATATATATATAATATATATATATATATATATATATATATATATATATATATATATATATAATCGTACCTAGTAGCCAGAACGCACTTCTCAGCCTACTATGCAAGGCCCGATTTGCCTAATAAGCCAAGTTTTCCTGAAATATTATATTTTCTCAAATTTTTTTCTAATGAAATGATAAAGCTACCCATTTCATTATGTAGGAGGTCAATTTTTTTTATTGGAGTTAAAATTAACGTAGATATATGACCGAACCTAACCAACCCTACCTAACCTAACCTAACCTATCTTTATAGGTTAGGTTAGGTTAGGTAGCCGAAAAAGTTAGGTTAGGTTAGGTTAGGTTGCTAGGTAGTCGAAAAACAATTAATTCATGAAAACTTGGCTTATTAGGCAAATCGGGCATTGCATAGTAGGCTGACAAGTGAGTTCTGGCTACTAGGTACGACATATATATATATATATATATATATATATATATATATATATATATATATATATATATATATATATATATATATATATATATATATATATATATATATATATATATATATATATATATATATATATATATATGTATGTATGTATGTATATGTATATATCGTACCTAGTAGCCAGAACGCACTTGTCAGCCTACTATGCAAGGCCCAATTTGCCTAATAAGCCAAGTTTTCATGAATTAATTGTTTTTCGACTACCTAACCTACCTAACCTAACCTAACTTTTTCGGCTACCTAACCTAACCTATAAAAATAGGTTAGGTTAGGTAGGGTTGGTTAGGTTCGGTCATATATCTACGTTAATTTTAACTCCAATAAAAAAAATCGACCTCATACGTAATGAAATGGGTAGCTTTATCATTTCATAAGAAAAAAATTAGAGAAAATACATTACTTCGGGAAAACTTGGCTCATTAGGCAAATCGGGCCTTGCATAGTAGGCTGACAAGTGCGTTCTGGCTATTAGGTACGACATATATATATATATGTATATGTATAATATATATAAAATACACACACATACACACACACACACGTGTGTGTGTGTATGTGTGTGTACTCAGTAAGTACACACAAGAGTTCTTATATTCTTGCACAGCCACTAGCACACATAGCATTTCGGGCAAGTCTTTAATCCTATGTTCCTCAGAAAACAACCTGCCAAATCGTTTAACAGCAAAGTACCCATTTTACTGTTGGGTTGAACAAAAGCTACAGTTACGGATTGACACCCAGTAAATCCTCCCCGGCCAGGATACAAACCCAGGACAAAGAGCTCGCAAAATGCCAGGCAAGTGTCTTAACCACTACACCATGGGAACTGCAATTATTAGTACAGGGCTTCAGTTATATGGAGTTGTCATGTCTACCAGGCACTACTAGCCAGAACATGGTCCCCTCAGAGAGGCGAAGGGAGCAATGGCCTATGAAACTCACATGTATGAAAGTATTCATGTCTGCCATCAACTGGGGTTAAGCACCCAGAAAGGTAAGCACTTGAAAACACACCCCACGTGATAGAAATACTGCAACCTGAGACCAGAGGCGAGAACCCCCCCCCCCCAAAGAAAAACAAGCCAACAAGCAACACATCATCACACCATGCGCCGCTCATTCACACTACCATGGGAGGGGGGAGAGAGGGTCCCAGCCCAGCGAAACGGCATCTGGACAGTCAGTTTGAAAGCTGAAGCTATACGTGGTGGATGCCTGCTCTGGCCTCGATTACGTGATTGGCTTCACCGTGCTAGTGTTCCTTCTGTGTGTTGGTGGTGGCCAGGAGTTTGTACCAAGGGCTGCATGTGCTTAAGGCTCCCTTCCCTAGGCACCCTGTGAGTACACCCCTTGGGGTTCAGAACCATATTCTCTGGATCCTTCGGGTCTCCATTCCCATAGGGGTAGTGACTGCTTGGTTTGCTACCTCGCCCTTGGGGTCAGCTTAGGTCCTGGTTCTGTAGTTTGGCCCTAGGTAGGGAGTGGTTGTTTACTCGTTGGGGTACGCTAGGCTGCCCAGCTTGCATAATCACAGCGGCCATGACTCTTTCTGGTTCTGGGTTGTGGTGCTTCCTTGGAGTTCTCTTTCATTCTTTAGTTTTCTTTATTGCCTGTTGGGAGGTTGCCACAGTCCTTATTAGGTGCTACCTAGGGCGGTAGGGAGTAGGGCGGTCCTCCTCTGGGCCTTAGGGGTAGCGCCTTTTCCTAGGTGCCTGTTTGCCCAGATATATTACGGGGATACAACCGGCTTTGGCGGTCCAGCAACTCTGCTTCCTGTAGGGTAAAAAAAAAACCTGCAGGCCATGGAAAACCCTGTCGGGACTTTGTTGACTGTGGTGGATGAGTCATCCAAGTCCCATCTCGCCTTGTGCGAGTTTGAAGGTTGTTTGTTCCCCTGTCTCAGGGTGACGATCACCTGTATTGTCTCCGTCATGCTCCTTGTTGGGTCGATGACACCTTTGACCCGGAGTCATGTGAGACTTGTTCTCTACTCGTACTCAGATTTACCCATACTGCTACGGCTTAGGTTAGGGGTCAAGCAATGCCCCAGGGCTGCCCCATTTTGGTTATAGAGACCTGGACATGGGGGATTTGGTCACTTTGACCTTGGTTTCATCTGTGCCTTTTTGACCTCCCCTTGTTGGTGTGGTTCACTGTTCTCCCTCTGCTTCCAGCTCCCAAGTGCCTGAGGGTTTCGGGTCGGGGCTGGGGATGAGACTTGGGCAGCTCTGGGGGTTGCCCCATTCAAGGCAGGGATGGTGGCATTTGAGCTGGTTCCTCCTGCCGAGGCTTTTGAGTCCTTCCCTCTAGCCTTAAAAAATCCTTACCCTATTCTCCAGGTCTCTGACTAATGAGAATCAATATCAAGGAAGAGACTTTGCAGCTCCAGCTGGAGGACTTAGGGTAGATGTTTAGGGATTGCGGCTATCTGGAGGAGATAATGCAGTCGGCACGAAAGGAAACTCGGCATTAAAACAAGGGCGGAGATACTCCTACCGACAGTACCACAAACGGACGAGAAAAGATGGATCTTGCCGACCCTTTTCTTCCCAGGACTTGCAGGCCCCCTCAAGAACAAAATAACAGGGGTATATGAGTGGCTCAAGGACAACTACAGGGAAGCACCCATCCTGGCTGGCGCAGCTTAGCACCATCTACCGCCCTATGATAGCATTAAAACGAGGCAATTAGCCTAACCCTGGACTGAAATCTGCAGAGGCACCGACCTACCCTAACCTAACCTTGAGAGTGACAAACTATGACAAACCCAACAGACAAACCAATCCTTACCTAACCTATTCAGCGTAACCAATACGAGGACAGAGTACGAGGACATGAGAAGCGGTTAAGGAGGGCCCATA